TAGTATAGTAACAAACACAAAAAGAAGGAGGAGAGATAAGGACGATAGATGTTTAATAGAAAAGAAGGAGCAAATCACACCAGATGACCCACCAACCACCCACCCACCACCCACCCACCAAATTTTATAATTTCTTCATTAAAAATCAACCAAAACGTATGTAATATTATGCATTTAAGAACACGTGCATTCAAAACTGAGAAAAAGACAATCACCAGCAAAACTGACTCGAATTTCAAATGCAATCCAAAGTTGTTGCTTTTTTTTTATTTCACAGAAACAAAATATAAATCATGGAAGATGAAATCCCTTTAAGAATCATAAGTGAGGCAACGTGGTGGAATCAGGCTCTCGTCAATTTGGGGGCATGTAGAGTTATTGGTATCATCTTAAAGCTTGTTCACTTGTCTTTATTTATATGAAAAAATATCCATTTACCTTGAACTTGAATACAAGTTAAGGTATTTTCGAATGAAGAAGGTGGGGTAAACCTGTTTTCAGAGATAAAATTAGTGAGAAAATGGCCGCCAAAGATTAGTTATTTCCTTAGCTTAAGAGTCCGTGGTAACTGAAAATTTACATTTTTGTGCCTTTAATCAACGCTTTTCAAAAAAATTCACCCAGAAATGAGTTCTTTAATGGACATGAAAGGTGTTGAGCCAAAAAACAAAAATTTGATAAAAATTCACAAACCTGCAGAAAAATGCAAGTTTCTTCACTTTGATTATTTTGACGAGAGCCTGATTCCACCACGCTGCCTCACATATTATAGGCACTTATATCACAGAAAAAAATACATTCTCAAAACAATGTACAGTTTTGTTTTTTTTTAAATAAATGTACATAATTAAAAACGTAATCAGCTCGACCAGCCCTGTACCAAAGTTATTACACACGAGTGGGCAGATGCAGGGTGCTTCTTATACATCCAAGCTTTTTTTTCTTTCCCTCTGCTCTTTCTGTCTATCCGACATTTTTTTTCCTCAGAGACAGTGGAACATCATCTGTTCTTCTGTAGAAAACGAACTGATTTAAGGGGAAGTTTTCTTCCCAAGCTACCCCACACATCTAATTGCCTCTACTCCTCAAGACAACAATTAGAACAGACATGTAGCTATTACCGAATGGTATCATGCAGAAGAGTTAATGCTCAGATGCTACTGGATCGCTAACAACAACAACCACAACAACAACAACCACAACAACAACATTTTTTTCCTTACACTAAATAACCTTTATCATGTTGATGTTATGCTTCACCTTAACAAACAAACAAACAAACAAACAAACAAACAAACAAACAAACAAACAAACAAACAAACAAACAAACAAACAACTACACGCAAGTGACATTCAACGTAAAGATCATAATGTAAGGACTCTAAATGTCCATCCTTGCAGTCCACCGTTTCTAGTTTCAAGACGAGGACCTCTAAATTACTCTAACTGGATAAATGTGCCAATCAGCTACCCAAAAACAAATCACGAACTTTTTGGCTCCTGTGGAAGAGCGAGCTTGCAGAATCACAATTTACAGATCATATTGTAAAATACATCTCATTTTTTTATATAAAGTGCAGAGTGAAATTTAAAAAAAAAAGTTTTAAAAATTAAAATGTAAATAGATAGTCTAGCAAAATCATAATAATTTGAGAAATCTGGATTTCTGGATCTATCTATTTCAACCAATAAGCCAAAGGTTGGAGAGAAAGTCAAGTCTTCATATCATCATCTCTGCTGCAAGCAATCCACTTAAGTCCAAAATTTGAAGAAAAAATTTTTTTTACACCATCTCAAAAAAGCTCTACCAACCAGGCACTTTTCAACATCACCAAAATGCCGTTTAAAGGTCAAGGCTTCTAATTTTCTAGCTTTTCCTGATTCCTGATAGGAACAACACAACGAAAACTTGTGGGTTTTTTTGTCTCTGGTATTTAAAAAAAAAACAAAGCTTACGACACAGACAATTTTTAATCTATAATTTCAAAACCTCTCACAATTGTGAAAATCTGTATGCTTTATGTGATGAGGGCCAACATTGAAAAAAATACCAACCTACCTACCTACCTACCTACCTACCTACCCACTATTCCAAAGCACATGTGTGGATTCAAACTAGGCTTCATCACACTGCAGGCTAGCATGACACCAGCTAAGTAAACAACAGACCTTCATGTAAGACAATCACCAAAAAAAATATATAAAGACACACTGTTTTCCTTGAATACAAAAATCAATGAAAGACGACAGATTTTTTTACCACAAAAAGATACTAAAAGGAAACAGAAATTTGTGAATAAAAAGGTTAGGCATCACCACTCACAAACAACTCAGTGCATATCAACTGTTTATTGTAACACTTCACCTTACGCCACTTCCAACAACAAAAATTGATCAAATGCACACAGAAATGTAAAATGGTAGTTTCCAAAGACTTTCCAGCTTTGGAATTCACCAAACTTTGACGGCCGATTTCTCGCTAGTTTTACCTCTGCTTCCAAGTGACCCCCCCTCTCCCTCTCCCTCTCCCCTTCTCCCTCTCCCTCCCCCCTCCCCCT